CCCCCCCCCCCCCCCCCCCAGTGACGGGAGCCTGCCAGGACAGCCTGCAAGGTGGGCGGGCGGCATTTGCGGAACTGCGCGAAGTCAGACCTGCCATAAGGCAGCTCTAGCAGCTCCGTCACAGGCCCTCCAGCTCGCGGAAGCTTCGGAGCATCCCCGACCGGCGAGGTCGAAAGTCAACTCCGAGATCCACATCCACAAAATGCCACAAAGTCTGTGCCGCAGGTCTTGAGGCAGAATTCCCTGGCAGCGCAAGGGATGCTGCAATTCCCGCACATCGAGGAGCTTCCACATGGAGGGTTGGCGCTGCTTCATGCCAACAAGCTTTTCAGGAGCGTCCGTCCGCAAGGAGCTCCAAGATTCCAGGCGACGTTCGCAGAATCGTGCTTGCCAGAGACGCGTTCCGGCTCAACCCTGCAGAGGCTCTCCTCCAGTGCCGCCGCCGACAGCAGGCCTAGCAGGCCATGTCTCCACGTCTGACCCGCCTCAAGAGCAATCCCCTTGGGCGGTGATCAAGCTTGTCGGCATTGAAGCGTCACGGCCGTGTTGTCACGCCGGCTGGCCGCAATGTTCGTCGATACATATAACGGTCCCTGCAGCAGGGCAGTTGTCTGATACCTTGTGCCTATGTGAAATGTGTACATGTGCGCATGTTCAGGAGACACGGCTGTGCCCTGAGACAGTTGCATCTTGCAGAGTGAGAATTACGGATGCCCCAGGCAGAATTTGCCATACTGACATCGTTCTTGCCTCGATGCAAACCATGACTACAGAGCCGAGATCCATCACGTAAAGTCACTCCACACAGACTACATGGGTTCGTAAAGTTTTTCTCGGCCCCCCTAATCAGAATGAGGAAGACTAGGTCTAGGTAAGACAAGCCCTCCGACACAGTGTGCTGGTGGTGTTGTTTCAAGTTTTTAAGTTCCAATCGAGAAGCTGATGGTCTCTCACATAAAGAGTGAGTGTGTGTGTGTGTGTGTGTGTGTTTGTGTGTGTGTGTGTGTGTTTGTTTGTGTGTGTTTGTGTGTTTGTGTGTGTGTGTGTTTGTGTATGTTTGTGTGTGTGTGTTTGTGTGTGTTTGTGTTTGTGTGTGTGTGTGTGTGTGTGTGTGTGTGTGTGTGTTGTGTGTGTTTGTGTGTGTTTGTGTGTGTTTGTGTGTGTTTGTGTGTGT